TGTGTGAAGGTAAACTACAGAAGGATTCAATGGGAATCTATCTCTGTAGCGATGTGACAGGTGGGTTAACGGCTTGCCACCACCTTGCCCGCACCCAGCTCCTAAGTACCTGGCTCATGACGAACCCTAGCTAATGCTTGCCTGGGAATGTGTCTCAAGGGCAAGTATGGCTTAGAATCGCTAGCCTAGTGAAGTTCCCCAATGTCTCAACCGCACCCGCATCCATTGTATACAAAAGTGCATATTAGTGTAGAAGTAGTGAAGTAGATTAAGAAGATGATTTCATAGTGATGAGGATTAAGGAGATCTTTGTAGATCTTCAGTTAATTCATTGTGCATTTTGCCCTCAACTACAAACGCTTCCTCCCGCAGTGCTACACAAGTGATGCACCAGCAGCACCTTGTTCGTTTGTATAGTTATTGATAAAGCCATCGCCACCAGTTGTTGCCGCATTGGAAAACGCCATCGAACTCCAATCATCCGGAGCCACAAATGATTCAGCAGCATGCTTATACAGTTCTGAATTAGCCCAATCCGTTTGACAGCGAATGTTATTCCAGTACAATTTATAGTCGGATTGAGTCAAGATCGTTTTACCATCCAATTCGACTTGGAGTGAATCAATGACATTCCACACGCCAGACTTAAATCCAGTACAGAAGCGATTCACTTGATTGCCCATAGCAACAGTACCATTGTTGCGAAGAGAAACAACATAAGGCAAAACAAGGTACGATCACGAAGACTGGCGAAGCCGCTAGTACCAGTAAGTTGAGAGGCAGCATCGAGTGCAATGATGCCAGATTGATATGATCCCTGATTGTTATCAGTAACATACATTACACGCTTATCGCGAGCGAGGTTTTGAGGTTGATCATTATGAGTAGCCTTATCAAAAAGGAATGAATCAGCGGATTGATAGTCAGTGTAAGCCATATTGCGTTATCGCTTATTATAGTCTACTTGATATAGAGACAATGATTAAAAATAAATTAATCAATGGTGTGAGCAGTGATCATGAATTAATTGAACTAGCAGTGTTGCTTGATATTCATATTGATGAGATTGACACAATTAGTCAATTGAAAAAACCATTAGATAAGACAAAAACGTATGTAATTTTACTTCAAGGAGAGAGAGGTGGAATTGGGCATTGGGTGTGTACTCATCATGATAAGTATTTCGATAGTATGGGAATCGCCAACGATCCTTCTTTGGGAGTTTTCAAATGTAATGAAAAACAATACTTCCTCTGCTCCATAATACTGTGGTCACAACTCAAACCAGCGACCCCAAAAATTCATTTTTTGGCCAAATTTGATGAATCGTACCAATTCTGAAAGACAATCAAAAATGAAAGACAATTCGTATTGACTGCACCGCGCAAAACCACCAATTTTACCCTGCCAATTGAATTCGTCATCGGAGAAAGGACCAATTTAATAAAATAATTGCCCTCTATTTAATTATTAGGGGACCAAGTGCGCCATTTTTGAATTTGCCGCCATGACCACTTCCCGCGCGAACCGAGAGCTCACCACCGACGACAAGACGGAAGTCGTCAAGTATCTCCAAGACCGCATGAGCCTTGGCAAGCTCCCACACGGCTCGATCAAGGCCGGGGCAGCCGCACTCAACTTGAACCGCAAGACAGTGTCCGGCATCTGGAAGGACTTCTTGACCCAGGGGTCCTCGCCATCGAAAAAGGCCGGACGAGTCGGTCGCAAGCTCCGCTACACGCCGGAGCACGTGACCCAGCTGGTCCAAGAACTACCGCAAGAAGAACGTTCGACAATGCGCGACATCGCAACAGCAACCGGACTTACCATGGGCACGATTTGCCGCAACCTCAAGTCTGGCACGCTCGAACGCTGGTCTTCTCGCTTGAAGCCGTTGCTGACCGACGAGAACCGAACCGAACGCATTGAGTTTTGCCGCAGCGATGGCAGCGGCCTCGCAGAATTGCCATTTTTGGACATGCACGACGTCGTCCATCTGGATGAAAAGTGGTTCAATGCCGACAAGGATCGCCGAAAGGTGTATCTTACCAAGGGCGAGCGCATTGGCCGGCGCGCGTGCAAGAGCAAGAGATTCATTCCCAAGGTGATGTTCCTTGCGGCCGTTGCCCGG